AAAATAAAAAATAATAAAAAAAGCAAAGCAGATTCGGTGCTGCTTGCTCTTCTGCTTGGCCGGATTTCCCAACAAACGGTATTGTGTAGTTGACGGTTTCCTCAAACCCGTCTTGCTATGAGATGGTGCCGATTTTTCTTTTCCTATCGAAAAGCCAAAGCCACATCTCTTGCTTTGGGGGCCAGATCTGTCAAATGCATCCGAAAGGCCTGATTCGCAGACCCCTTGGGATGCATGTTTTAGGTGAATTTACTCCAGCTATAGTTACAGAACTCCATAGTGTAAGTATAGTAGTAGGTGGATCCAACCAAAGCATTCAAAGCCCTCAATGCAGTGCAGAACCTACAATATCAGAGGAGATGTTAAGTTACACATAATTTTTGGTTAATGACTGTCCTGCTTAGTAACCATCCAAGCTTACAATGGTGCTGAAACAATAAGTTTATGACTTCAGATAGCCAGAACATCCATGGGATCACAGTTTGGGATGCTTAGCAATCAACTGTGTGAATTTATTTAATGCTTATAGCTTCCTGTTTGCAACCTGGGAAGCTGGCTTCTGACAAGCAGAGTGGGGAAACTGCAGGAAGTCGCAAGTTGTGGTCATGTAATATTGCGCTTAATGAGCCCAGCAGGACTGACATAAGTTGGGCTCAGTACTGCCTTTATTTTGTTAATTGGAATTTAAAAAATATTTCCTTTAATAGTCCTCTTACAGCTTTACAGGTTGGGGAGGATAACACTATAAGTCCCAGGTTCTCCTTCCAGTTTGGCAACTTGGGCTTGCTGGGAACTGTGGGATTTGCCATCCTACATCTAGCAGGCATTAGGTGGAAGAAGAAGTACTCTGTAAATTGCTACATAAATTAGTCTGTGTGGAGAACTCACGTGTGTACAGTACACTACCATGTACAGGTAGTCCTTGGCTAATGTCCCCAATTGACCCCAAAATTTATATTGCTAAATGGAATAGTTGTTGAGTGATTTCCTCCTGCCCCCATTTTATTTCGTTGCAATTGTTAAACTAGTAACATGGTTGTAAAGCAAATCTGGTTTCCCCATTGACTTTGCTTATCAGAAGGTTGCAAAAGGTGAGCTTGAGACACTGCAACTGTCATAAGTATGAGTCAATTGCCAATGTCTGAATTTTGATCACATGAACACGGGGTGCTACAGCAGTCATAAATGTGAAGAATGGTCATAAGTCACTTTTCAAGGTTGTCATAACTTCAAATGGTCACTAAACAAACTATTGTGAGTTGAGCACAGCTACTTTTATAGAATATGTTTCTCTGATCTGTTCTTTTAAGGAATGAATAACTAATAACACTTGAGAATTTGATTTGTTCCAAAACGAAGAGCTAAAATATGGTTTTTGTATTCAACTTGGGAACAGATACATCTTTCTCACTCATTGTGATCGTACGTGCATAGTATTTTCAAGCTCAGAAAAATGATAAAGTTGATCTGAATTAAAATTCATAGAATTTAGCACAGGAAGATGTTTATCGTTTCTGTGAGAAAATGACTGAAAAAAATAAGTCTGGAAAACCTTGGGCTCTGAAAATGTGCTGATGGTGGTGAGGAATTTGAACTATTTTCCCAGCCCTTTTAGCTCATTCTGCTTTGCACATTCCAAAGGAAGCCATGTTAAAAAAAGATTTGCACTCTGCTAGTTTCCAGTTACAGTACTGAAAGCTATGGCAAACCCAATTCTAAAAACATTTAAAAAAAAATAGTTTCTAACAAAATAGCTGCTTCTGTATTCCAAACCCTAATCTCAAAGTCTGTATAGTGAACACAATCTAGAAAGACAGTAGATGGTTTCATGCCCACCTTACTCTGGAAAATAAAGTTTGGAATGAATACAGGTAGTTCTTGACTTACAACAGTTCATTTAGTGACCATTCAAAGTTACAACCTCACTGAAAAAAATGACTTATGTCCGTTTTTCACACTTACAAGGGTTGCAGCATCCCCATGGCCACATGATCAAAATTCAGGTGCTTTTGGCAACTGACTCATATTTATGGCGGTTGCAATGTCCCAGGGTCATGTGATCCTCTTTTGTGTCTTTCTTACAGGCAAAGTCAATGCAGAAGCTAGATTCGATTAACTTAACTACAGTGATTCACTGTTGCAAGAAAAGTCATAAAATGAAGCAAAATTCACTTAACAAATGTTTCACTTACGACCACAATTGATCCCAAAATTTCTGTTGCTAAGTCGAGGATTACCTATACAGATTGTTTAGGTTTTGTTTTGTGCTATCCAGCACATTTTAGGGGAATGCTCATCTACGAAATCTAATGGCAGATCACTTAATGTTCGTAGACTTACCTACACTCAGAAGTTCTTACGTTTTAAGTATGCAAAGTAGGACAGGACTTGTATGAAATAAAAGGTTGTGAATATCTGTCCAAAGTCAGTGCTTCTCTCTTGTACCACCACTTTGAAAAAGGAATGCACACACTAGGCTTAAAATGCTGGTTGTTTTCAAGGAGGAGAAATCAGAAAACCATGTGGTAGAAATAGTATCGTTTTATTATAAGCCTCATTTTTATAAATCATACGTCAGTGCTTTTGACTCTAGGTTGCTGAAAAGATCTGTTCACTCAGAGAGGTATCAGTACTGTCATTAGGATTTGGGGGTTTTCAGAAACAAAAAATAATTTTAAAAGGAAAAATTGAGGAGAAAGGATATCACTAAAAGAGGCCAGTGAGGACACTGAGCATTCTCATTTGGTATAAGCTAGACTGATTAAAGGAAATGGGGGGGAAGTGGTGACTGATGAATGTAATGGACACTTTTGAATCCTGAATAGAAGTATACTGCATTACATTTACCTTCTAGAATTCTGATAATTTAAAATTGGCTAAAGTATTTGATGTATAAGAAGGGTTATTAATCCCCTGGCTATTAACAGATTAAGATACAGTACATTCTTACATCTTTGGTCAAGTGCAGGGGTGTCAAACTTGCAGCCCGTGGCCCGGATGCATCACACACTGGCCACACCCGGTTTAGCGGGAGAAAAACCCGCAATATATCACATGACAATGCAAGTTTGACACCCCGGGTCTAGTGCGTAAGGCATCAAGCTAGAAAGCAGGAGTTTGATTTCCACCTTAGTTATGAAACCCAGCTGAGTGACTTTGGGCCAGTCATTCTCTTTGAGCCCACTCCACTTCGCAGGGTTGCTGAAGTGGGGAAAATAGCAGGAGAATGGTGTGTTACGTATGTTTGCTGCCTTGAGTTATTGGTAAAATAATAAAGCTGGGATAGAAATAAAAAAAAAAAATATGTTTTACTACTTTCTTAGTTCTAAAATATTTGTGTTGGAGTTTTAGTTGCTTTAAGCAGCACGGAAAAGGGTTCCTAAATTTCCTAAAAGAAAAATGTTCCTTAAAGTTGTATATATAAAAAAATAGGAACATTTATTTTTGTCTTCTGCCAGCTTTCTAATTTTAATTAATTTATATAGCCTCAATCATTATCAGATATTTAGAGGTCAGGATCCTCTGAAAATGGTGCCCTGAGTGACTGGGAGCTTTTTTTCCCCCCTCCCCTGCTGACTAATAGTGGATTTTGCTGCAAAAACTGTTTTTTGGGCAGCATGCTGCCCAGACTTTAATGGGAGCAACTAGGAACAACCCTAGATGACTTTCGGATGATGTAGTTACTTACCCTGTAATGAGAAATCTTAGTGGTTGAAGTTCATGGTCAGAATGGCGAGAGAGTGGAGTCCCCATCTTTTCCTATCACTTGTTCAGATTCTTAAGCTGTATCTTTGCTTTAACATCACTTTTTGAAACTCTTTTCTTTTGATTCTGACTTACATTTTAAATGCTTAACATCTGATTGAATGCTGAACTGCCTTGCTGGATTATAAACATAATTTTTAAAACTATTTTTACTTTTTTGGGAGGGAGTAATGAAATACTTTCGCTTTTGCCATATGGAATTTGATGGGGTGAAGATTTCTTTTCTAGTGATTGCAATCTGATGAACTCTGGATTCTTGCAGTAAGGAATTTGTATCTTACCAGTTTTTACAAGAACTTTGCTTTTTTACTGTACTTTATTTCTGAATATTTCTCTGGGGTTTTTTTTTAAGAGAGGAATTTTTCCCTTTGTCTCTTCTATTCATTCTCTATGGTGGGAAAAATTATTTCAGTCCTTCCTGCGGTTAGCCAGTGATGGAACAGACTATCCTTAAGAGGAAATGCCTATGTTCTTGGACTACATTAAAAATGAAAATAACAAAAGCCTTCTTGAAAGCCTTCAAAATAAGAATGCTTTTTAACTTACAAGCTGTCTTTGAAAATTTAGATAATAGGTTTAATAGCAACAACTATTTGTTGCTGTTTAATGTAGCAACAATTATAGATCAACTTAAAAGAGGATACTCAGGTGTAGTCAATCCAATGGATTGGAAATTAATTTGTTGCTAATAGGGTTGGAGGAACTTTGTTGGAAACAAAAGTTTGGTGAAGAAGTCTGAATGGGTGATGAATCCAGTCATGGTGGTTCAGTAATGAATTGGACTTTCTTAAGAAAATTCATGGACTTTTTAAAAAAAGCCTGCTGTGAAGATATTTACAACAGAGATCTATAACTTTGGGGAATGAAATGAAATTATATGGAAATACCCTACTTATAATTTTAAGGAAAAGTTATATTATCAAGAATCATTCAAGGATATTTGATCATGGGCAGATCAGAAACAATGACTGTAATGGATAAGCCTGAAATTGAAGCAGTTGCAGACTTTAAAATAGAATGATAGATTGTTAACAGAGTGGTTTTGAAGTTTGGCATTGGGCTTACCTATGAACTTTTTTTTTTTTTTTACTGTAGATAAATGGTAGGTGAAATTGCTAGGGTAAATAGCTTATATATTGTAGACTATTTCACAAGGAGGGAAAACTGTTAGTGTTGAAATATATTAATATTTAACCGGGGGTGGTGGTGGTTGATTTTTATTCTTTTTTTTCTTTAATGCACTTTTTTGTTTGCTTTTTGTTCTGTTCTGTTCTAGTTTGTATTTTTAAATTTTACGTAAAAAATAAGATATTTGGAAGTTGTAAATTTCTAAGATTAAATTTATCTTAATTATAGTAACCAGACTTTACGTTTATGTTAAAAAGGAATTTTCATGATTTTCCAAAGTACTATTTGTAGTTCTTTATATAGCTGGTCCTCAACTTACTATCACAATTGAGGCCAACATTTCTGTTGCTAAGCAAAGCAGTTAATGATTTTTGCCCCATTTTATGACTTTTTTGCCATAGTTGTTAAGTGAATCATGTGATTGTTAAGTGAATCTGGCTTCCCTCATTGACTTTGCTGGTTGGTAACCAGATGGAAAGGTCACAAATGCTGATCACATGGCCCTGGAACAGTACAGCTGTTTTAAAAATATGCCAATTGCCATGCAACTGAATTTTGATCATGTGACCATGGGGTTGTAAATGTGAGAACTTGCCATAAATCACTTTTTTCAGTGCCATCGTAACGTTAAACAGTCATTAAACAAATGGTTGTAAGTTGACAACAATCTATAGCACAGGTGTCAAGTTTATGTCACATTGTTGTCATGTGACGTATTGTGACTTCCCCCCCTTTTGCCAAACGGGTTGTGCATGGCCAGCACGTGACACATCTGGCCCGCAGGCCATGAGTTTGATACCCCTGATCTATAGTGTGCTTATTCGTCATAAATTTTAAATATTTTTAAAAACTCTTGAATGTTTTTTTTAATTTGATGGTAGGGTGATTGTCCAGAGATTAGCTTATCACATGATCAGATTTCTAGTGTCAGTTCTTATAATAAAGTCCATTGCAGTTATTTTTAAATTATTTTTTCACATCAGTTTTTCCTCAGCTATTTTGACATTTATTTAGAAAATTTTTCCTGTATGCAGCATATGCTACTGTATGGTGCTGAATAAATAATATTTCAGCTAAATAAAACAGTAGTCTCCAGGATAATTGGAGCAGTAGGTGTGTGCAATTATGCCTGGAGAGATTTTATATCTAACTGTATATGGAAAAATATGAATATTTTTAATTCTAGTAATTTTGACTTAAATCATTTAATATCTGAAAGAAAATTGAAGGTACTTGAATGGAAGATTAATGAATTCAAGTTAATTTACATGAACCGAAGGGCAGATGAATTATATCTTAGATACTATAGCAAAGGTGATTGTAGAACCACTAAATATAGTATTTGAGAACTCCTAGAGAAATTACATATCCCAAAAGAAGAAAAGAAAGCAAATGACCAAATATTCAAAAAGAAAGAAAGGAGAAGAGAAGATTATTATGCTTGTTCTAGCTATGGAGTAATGAATGTTTGCTGGGTGACTTGTGCATGAGCTTATTTTTAGTCAGACAGTAATTTGGTTCTTATATGTCAGGGGACTGTTGTAATAGATGGAACACAAGTTTAAAATTGTGAAGTTAATCAGTGGATGATATCAGTATTACCTATTTATAGATCTTTCCTTTCAATATATAACCGCCAGCAGCATCTTTTCCTGCTGTCTGAAGTTTGACTAAACTATTGGGCTGTAATCTATTTTGAATCATGGTAAGGTTTTTCTCTAGTATATAAATTAACATAATTTTAATTATGGTTTAATTGTTAAATAGCTTTTAACATTTATTTTCTAATTCAGTTAGAAATTCAGCACTTTGATTTAACAGCAAAGGAATCAAAACATATTTTAGTGGGCTGCTGAAAACAGATTGATCTTCATTTATGAACTTGTTTTCAGTGGAAGGGTGAGCATTCCCAAATCTATACAGTTATAAGTTATCGGGTCTGTTAAATTGCAGTCTCTCTCCTGCTTTCTCAAAGTGTAAATAAAACAAGAATGTCACAGGGTATGTAAGTCTGAAGTTCAGGGAGTAACATGTCATTTAAATTTCATTTTTTAATATTTGAATACAACAGGTTGGCTTTTTCTTCACACTATTTTTGTTTTCCTCTCATGCTTTTACAGTGAAGAGTTCTCCGTTTAGAACAAATTGTAACTGTGGTGGTGGTGAATTGTTAAATTAAGCTAAACAGCCTTGAAGATAGATTGTTGCTTCTTTTCTCTACTGTTCTTTACTTCAGTGACTTTTTTTGTCTCCTAGAGTCTAGCAGCCAACATGTCAAGCAAAAGAGCAAAGACAAAGACCACTAAGAAGCGCCCTCAGCGTGCTACGTCCAATGTATTTGCTATGTTTGATCAGTCACAGATACAAGAATTTAAAGAGGCATTCAATATGATTGATCAAAATAGAGATGGTTTTATTGACAAAGAAGATCTGCATGATATGCTTGCTTCACTTGGTAATCACTTTTTCTATTTTACTTCAGTTATGTCTCTTCTAGCAAATTTGCTCCCCCGTTTAAGTGTAAGGAATGTTTATCTAATACTTTAGAGCTGCGCCTTGAAATATAACCCTCCAACTATTGATGTGGCTCAATTTTAAATGTTAATTGATTGTAGGGAAAAATCCAACTGATGAATATCTAGATGCCATGATGAATGAGGCTCCAGGACCCATAAACTTCACTATGTTTCTCACAATGTTTGGTGAAAAATTAAATGGTACTGATCCAGAAGATGTAATCAGGAACGCCTTTGCATGTTTTGATGAAGAAGCAACAGGTAAGAAGCTACCAAGTATCAGAAATAATTTCATAGCTTTTGACTACAAATATATAATCTTGGTTACTTATGTGTAAAACTATATACAAGTTCAAGGCAAAAGAATGAAACACCTTCCAACACAATGGCAAAATAGGTTGTTAAAAAGCAAAGCTGTGACATTTAATTTTTAAAACCTCAAAAATTAGGGATATTTTCTGCAAAGGAATGGTTTGGTATGGATTATTCTAAAAATGGAAACTTTTCTCATTTGGGGAAGAAATCATTTGGTTTCAGAATTAGACATTTCTGATCCTTGCTTCTCTGATGTGTTCAGCTGCTTGATAATGATACCATAGCATCATTTACACTTTATTATTTCCAGTAGCCTAGGCCATTTACTAAAATAGTTTTATTTAAGATCTTAGTCCTAACTTTAATTTGTTATCAGCCATAACTGACATACTCAAATTCTATAAGACTTCATACTTCAGACTTGAATCCACAAAGACTTCAAGACTTCAGACTTGAATCCACAAAGTTTATGTAGAGTAGAAAAAATGCTATTTAGTAGCAATTATTTGCTAAATAACTACAATCATTTTATTTGTTCATGTAATCACTTATTTCCTAAAGTATAAATAACTGCTGAATCAGTAAAAATTTAAAAGCACTCAGAGCCCTTTGTTTAATTTTTGCATTTTTGTGTATAATACGTTATACTAAAATTTCTTGTATTAAAATTCTGTCTTGAAATCTTTTCACATTTCTAGGCTTCATTCAGGAAGACTACTTGAGAGAATTGTTGACAACAATGGGAGACAGGTTTACAGATGAAGAAGTTGATGAGCTGTTCAGAGAGGCACCAATTGATAAAAAGGGCAATTTCAATTACATTGAGTTCACACGCATCCTGAAACATGGAGCAAAAGACAAAGACGACTAAAACAGAACTCTTGCTTCTGCATTGCTCTTTAGATCTCATGGTTATCTTCAAGGGGGATTTTTCCTGGTAGAACCTGTTGCATGCAGCTAGCTTTACAGCTTTTACCTATCTCGATGTATTTATCTATACAAGGCCATTCTGGCACACCTTGCACCAGTTTAATAAGGCCAGCAATGGAAATTGTAATTTTGGTGAATTTGGAGGTTGAGACCAATGAGTTTGAAGGCCCAGGAAAAATAATCTCTGTTTTTCTGGTTTAGCTGGATTTTTACATTTTGTAATAATGCCATTTTGAAATAAGATTGCTATATCAATAAAATACCTCAAATGCTAAATTGTGAAGTATAAGATTTTATTAAGAGTTGATAATCCAAACATCATGATTTCTCTAAAGAAGAATAGGAAAATGATCTTATGAAAAACGAATATCACTGTATCATTACTTCATGTAGACTCAACTGTGTACCTATTGTACTTTTAATTTTTTTTCAGGATAAATATCCTGCACATATATTTGCTGAGTAGATTGGCCTAGAGAACCATGACATTACTACTTCCATGGATCTTCAGTTTTTATCTACCTTTGTTCAATTCATTATTCTTACGAAGCTTTCATGTTTTATTTTTACGTAGATGAGAATTTATAGATCATACTATTCTGGATTCATGAACATGAACATGAATCCAGAATACTATGAATATGAACATGAACACTTTTTCTCAGTGTGTCACTGGACAATAGAGTCAGAAAAAATGAACTAGGCGTTTAAAAAAGCATAATGCTTTGATTTCTTCCCTAGCTAGTTATAAGTGCTTCTGTTATACTGATCTTTTCCCTCCTTTTCAGTATTAGCAATAGCTCCTCTAAGCTTCTGCTTTTGAGAATTTTGGTATGTGCTGATGTCCAGCCAGGAATGCAGAAGCACCACTTATCTATTCTGTTTTATAACCTGCTTTAGAGTGCTGTTCTATCAACTAGAACAGGGGTGTCAAACTTGCAGCATCACGTCATGTGATGTATTTGTGACTTTTTTCCCCTTTGCTAAAACAGAGGTGGACTTGGCCAGCGTGTGATGATCTGGTCCATGGGCCGTGAGTTTGACACCCCTGAGCCAGAATAATGCACCCAAAAATAATTTCCATTTTTTTCTAAGGACTGGTATCCATTTTAGTGACACCTTGGAACTTTTAATATTCACACAACCTTTTAGTCACCAGGCTTGGCATTAAGTATTGGCTATAAGTTGGCTAGAAATCACAACACCTCAAATACTGTATGTAAGTTTATTGATAAATTGAAAAAATACAATTGAAAATATGTGGTATACTGATTCTCATTTCTCATACTTGCCTCACCTAAATATATCTTAAATAACTCCAGGGTCCTTTTGCTGAAAAAAAGTGTAAATTTGGGAGATAGTGTAGCTATAAATTCAAAGAAATGGATAAATTATTTGGACTAACGGTTAAGATACTGGGATAGGAATGAAGAGACCTAAATTTTAGTCTACTATTGACCATGGAAACTAGGTGACTTATCCAGTCATTCTGAGTCCAGCCAACCTGCCAGGATCATCACTGAATAGAAAAATAAGAAGGAAGCATCAGGTATAGGATAGTACTCTTCAAATTGGAATACAGAAATACCGTTAATCATGCTATCTCTGGCCACCCCTCAGTAATCTGATGGTGGCAGATCTTTTATTGCTTTTTCTACAGATTGTCAATCTCTTAAAAGTTTTTAAAATATTGAGAAGCTAATAGTGTGAAGCAGAGTTAATTCCTGATTTCAAGAATTTCTCACACTAGTATTTTTAAACTTGATAAATAAGGTATGCTCAGCTTCAGATCTGACTACAATATGATTTGGCTATTATAAATTATCTCTATGATTACCAGATGTTAAATGCAGAAGAACAAGGTTCAAATTACACTTTTACTCTGAAGTTTGAGTTGAGGTTTTCCTGTCATGTATAGAGATGGTTTATATGCAAAGCCCTGCATTGTGTTTTAAGGGCAGTGATACATATCATGGCGTACTTAAGATTAACACAAGTATTTGATCATAATTTTTTGCTTGGGAGATCCTAATTTGACAGTTGCATGATGTTAAAACAGACATCAAACAATAGATGCATCCCTGAGCACACAGAAGGCACAAATAAAACAAATTTACAAAGCTCTTAATATTTGCAATACTACCTTTCAGGCCATCCAGATGAGAAGCTGATATTCTTAAAGTTGGGCCATGTTAGACATCATATCTAAATACATTTTTAAGCGGCAGTATGATCTTGCATATCCAAACAATGTGGATTAAGGAAAACAGTCATTTTTCTTTCTAATGTTATCAGCTTCCCCAGAATTTTGGGTTCCTGTAGGAAAGAAAATGTGAATGCATGAAATCTATAAAATGTGTGTGGGGGGGGGGGGGGGGCTTTTACAGCCAATCTTATTTCCTAATGACATAGATATTACTTGATTCCAAGTACAAGCCTCTTTTAACACTTCATTGTTATGCAGCAGGTAATTGTGAAGGGTGGGAACAGAAACTGAAGCTGAAAAATATATCTTTTGGGAGATTTACAGCTTTATCACAAAAATTTGAAGTGGGCTGTTACCACTAAGAGAGACAACTGCCTCAAAAGGATAAGCTTCATTGCAATTAAATTGGTGGATTGTCTTTGCTCAGGAGAAGTTCCAGGGAAACACTGCTATTTTGTTGAAAAGCAGAGATTTCCTCGTTATTCCTTCCAAAATGTGTTAATATACAGTTATTCCTCATAATTTGAGAGTGAAAATGAGGCCCAAATTGACAGAAATCTCTGAGATCAGAAATGTTCTTTCATTTCCCTTAAAACTAAAATTTCCTATAATTATTATGTAATATAGTAAAAATGGCTATCTTTTTCCTGATCTGTCTAGAAATCCATCTAGTCTATATTTATTGGGTATTGAGTTTTATATATAACTTTAAACAGCCTGTTTCCTTGCAAAATTATTGTGCCATACCTTCTATAATTCCCAGCCAGTTAGGTGAGAGTTCTGGGAGGTATTGTTCAATGTATCTGGCAGTCATTGTAAGTGATAACCTAGCATGTTCACAAACAAAGCCTAACTTTCACAAGGTTGATAATCTGCAATCATTAGCCACCATCAAGCAGACAAAAGAAAACATACTTGCTTTGTAATTCTTTTACAGCTTCTATTCAATTTGGTTAGGCAAGTCAGGCCCTGACAACAGTGCAGGCAGACAAGTTGTGTAGGCATGCATGAAGGATTACATATGAATAGGCTGACAGAATAAAGAGAAGTTATTTTTGAAAAGGAAATGCATGCTTGTCAGCACAAGTTATGACAATCTGTTTTTGGATGAAAGGTTGTTAGTCTAAGTAGAGTTTATTCACTCAGAATCATTCCACCAGGTGGCACTGTATAAATACAGCGATGCCAGAGGCTTATGGTTCTTTCTGTATTATCATCAAAATAGGTCTTGTTTTATTACTTTTCTCATCTGTATAGTTTCTTTATATCAACTAAAGAACTGCTTAATTTGTATTTGGAAAAAGAAAAACTTGTTAACTTGAATGTTGACCACATACAGTATTAATGCATACATTCCCTAGGCAGCTGTGAAAAATAATTTGGATCCATCAATCTAACCGTCCTACAAGCTTTATGACGAACTTATCCTTAGCTTTGACTAAATATGTGCTTTGCTGGGAAGAATTCACTATAATATGTGCTGGGTTTCACCAGACAAAAATGTTTGTTTCTCCATATGAAGACTCATTGACTTCAGGAGTATGGGAAAATAATTATCATCTAAGAATTCCTTATTATCCAGGAATACTGTATTTTCCTAGACATGAGTAAAAAAAAAAGCTCATAATCTCAAATAGAATATTTTATTTCTGCAAATATCCAGTGTTATCACTTCTATTATACCTGTAGGATGTAACAATAAAATGTAAATTTATAAAAATAAATCATAAATATCAGTAAAATGTAAACTACCAAAGTTAGGACATACATAAAAAAGGTCCAGAGCTTTAATTGTTTTTTTGATCTTAGCTTTTTTTATTTTTCTTTTGAAAATTTTATTTGGGTTTTCACAAAAACAAAATACAAATAAAACATCTTTTTTGAAAATAGCATGGTCCCAGGTTATCACTTCTTCATACAGACACAAAACTCAATTTCATGCTCATTTTTATATTCTATTCCATATCTTATTACCATTTTATATTTTGTACATAATTTTTTTCCTCTTTTAATTTTCTCAACTTTCTTTTAATTATCTCAAATCATTATATTTATACTTTTGTCTGTCCTGTTACAATTTCACATTATCTTTTCTTATTAAGCAAATTTTTCCCTGTAGTTACCAATTAGAGTATGACACCTTTATATCCTTTAATTTTATCCATTCAAGCTCTTATTTAAGCTTCAATGTATAGCTTTAAGATTATAGCGTTCAATATATTACATAACTTCCAATCAAATTCTGCTTGGTACATTCTTAAAATAGACACTATATTCTTAAAAAGAAAAAAATTATATATATATGTAAATAAAACACATTCCATTCCAATTCAATTCTATCATTAATATGCATTAAAATCTTAACATCTTTAACATTTCTTTTCAATTGAATATCATACTTCCTTAGGAACACTTATAAACTTTCCATAGTTAATTCTTTTTTCTTCATATTTCTCACTTATATTTTTATAAATCATTACTAATAATTAAAAATATTCTCTTTTAATTCTCTCAATCATTTTAATTCATTTATTAACAAACATCCCACTGCATTACAATAAATATTTTATCCATCATATTTCCTAAAATTATTTCTATTTGTAATATAACAATGTTATCTAATGTACCTTTGCAGAATCCCCTTTAAAATTAAATTTTCACTCATTATCTCTAAACAAACTTATGGTTACCAGTTATATGGTTACCAGATATAATCCTTATATCTTTTCCCTGTTTCTCCATTTCTTGTTTCTGTCTTTTACAACTTCTTTTCCTTGCCTTCATCCCCCTCTTCTTCTCCCTCCCCTTTTTACCCCCTCGTCTCTCTACTTCTAACTCTCTCATCTGTAATCCCGTTCTGTTGCTTTCTAATATTATACTTATCTTTCAAATTGTTCTTTTTGATTGTTTTTTCTAATCTTAAAACTTTCACTCTCTTTCCCCCCTTTTCTTTTTCCCCCCACTTAAAATTATTTGATCATTAAAGATGGCTTCTTCTTTGTCCCAATCTTCTTGTTCTGCAAGTTTTTCTTGTTGCTTCTCATAGTTCCAGATCTCCATTTCTAAGAATTGAAACATGAAGCCAAAAGAACCTCTCCCTTCTTCTGCGTCGTCTTTCCATTTTTTAAGTTCCGTTTTCAGTTCTTCTAAGAGTGATACCATTTTAAAAACTTTTAAACAACCACCCAGTTAATTTTAGTCATCTAGATGCAAAAACCCCAAATCACCAAGAAATCCAAATAATCCAAGGCTGTTTCTACTTGCTTCTTTTTTCCACTTTCTCTTCCTGGGGTTCTATTATTTTGTTACCAAGTTTCCATTAAAATGTGTCCTTGAGGAATCTTGTTAAAATTTCACTGTAAGTTCCTTTTAATTACAGTTCCATTCCTTAATTCCAGGCAGTCTCTTCCATTTTTCCAGATCCTGCCCTTCTATTCTTTTTTTTTCTCCTTTCCAGCTTTTAAAAACTTTTAAATGTCCAGAAATCTTTATTATCCTTTTGACTTTTATTTTCAGCTTAGATGCCTATTAATGTCAAAGTGGGTTTTTTTTCAGTTTCTTGCTTAAGTCTCTTAGCTGTCAGTATAAGGAAGGGAAGGAAAAAAAACTAAGCCTTTTCCCTTCTCTCTCTCCTTCGCAGCTTCAAAATCTTCTTTGGGAACAATGTTAAGTTTAAATTCCAGGGTACCTTATTTGTTGCTTTTGCTGTTTGACCCAGTCAACCAAAACTTTCTCTTCTTATCTTCCTCCTGTACATTCTTTTCCGGTCGAATTTCTCTTTGCGGTGGCCATTTCTGACCAACGCTACAACCGCCTTCACGAAAGGGAGTAATGGCCTGCTGGGGAGGAGAGATGCAGTTCTCCTCAACCCTGCAGGCAGTCTCCTCCCTCTTCACCACCTCTACGGGGTAGCTTAGCCCCGAAACCAGTTGGCTCGGGGCGCTCCAGCGGCGAGCACGGATTGAAGCCTCGGAGAGATGAGGCTTCGGTCTGTCACCGAAGAAGCTCAAACCGGAAGTCTGATCTTAGCTTTTTAATCTCATTGCCGATGCCCCTACTTTAGATGTTAGGTTTGTGGATTTAGGCCTTAAACTTTAGTATCTACATTTATTATCTGCATCTTGTAAC